ACACACACACGAGCATTCCCCCCTCTCGCTTCCTCCCTCCTCACACATTTGCCACCTCCCCCTCCCCCCCAACCAACACAAACATAGGTATGGCCTGCTGGGCCGCAATGGCAGCGGTAAGTCCACTCTCCTTCGTGTTTTGGCTGAACGCCGGTTGGCAGACCTGCCGTCCCACATTTCCACGCTGTACATCGACCAGGAAGCCAACGCCACCTTCGATTCTGTCATCGACTACGTCGTTGCTGGGGACCGCGAGCTGATGGCGCTGCGGGCAGAGCATCGGCGCATCACCGGCAGCAGCGCAGCACCGCACCATGAGGGCGATGGTGATGGTGCTCATGGTGATGGTGCTCATGGTGATGGTGATGAGAAGGGGTCAGACAACACAAAACCGCAGCCTTCAGACCAGCAACACCTTTCAGACAAGCAGCAGCAACAGCAGCAGCAGCAGCAGCAGCAGCAGCAGGTGCCGCGCGATGGCGATGGCGGCGATGCGTTGATGCCGCAGGTGTCTGCGGATACGGAGCGACTGTTGGAGGTGATGGAGGAGCTGGACCTGGTCGGCAACAGCACGGCCGAGGAGAGGGCCGTGGAGGCGCTGCAGGAGCTTGGCTTCACCGAGGACATGATGCAGTGCTCGTCTTCGTTGCTCTCGGGCGGGTGGCGCATGAAGGCTGCGCTCGCACGTGCGCTGTTCTGCCCGCCGGAGCTGCTGATGCTTGACGAGCCGACCAACCACCTTGACCTGCACGGCGTGCTGTGGCTGCAGGACTTCCTCAACGGTCTGGACACGTGCGTGCTTGTGGTGTCGCACGACCGCGCGTTCCTTGACGCCATCGCCACGGACATGATCGTCCTTGACAAGCGCACGCTCACGTACTTCCCCGGCAACTTCTCGGCCTACTTGAAGGACAAAGAGGACAAGCGAAAGCGGCACCAGCACCTGTACGAGGCACAGGAGAAGAAGCGACAGCACATCCAGGCCAGCATCGACAAAGGTGTACAGCACGCGCGGCGCACAGGCAACGACAAGGTGTTGGGCATGGTGGCATCGCGGAAGAAGAAGCTTGACCGTAGGCTTGGTGTTGAGAAGACGGAGGATGGCAAGCGTTGGCGCCAGTTCACCCGGCGCAAGACCAACACCCAGAAGCAGTACGAGGCTGCCTGCGATGGCCAGCGCCGCGTGGTGAGTTTCACGGTGGTGCGGTGGCGGTGGTGGCGGTGGTGGCGGTTTCTCTCCCGTTGCTGTTGTTGTTGTTTGCTGTTGTTGTTTGCTGTTGTTGCGGCTGTTTGTGTCCCTGCCTGTCAGCTCGCCGTAGCCGCACAGCTCATTCACCATCCACCCCAACAACAACAACACTCGCAAACACGCAACAGCTGGAGAAGCCGCAAGAGGAGAAGCCGCTTGTGTTCAAGTTTCCGACGGACCTGCCGCTGCTGACCTCTGGCAAGCGGTGCTTTGAGCTGGATGGCGTTTCGTTCCAGTATGAAGGGGCGAGTGAACCTGTGCTTGAGGACATCACATTCAGTCTTGACCTTGGGCAACGCATTGGCATTCTTGGTGGGTTTGCAGCGGCACATCGTGCATTGCTTGATGGTGTGGAATGTGCGTGCCATTGTCGCTCGTGCTCGCATGCGTTTGCCTGCTCCTCCCCCACCATTCTTTTCCTTTCTGTTTCTAACACACACACACACACACACACACACACACACACACACACACACACACACACACACACACACACACACACACACACACACACACACACACACACGCACACACACCACACCACAATACACAGGGCGCAACGGGGCCGGCAAGTCGACGTTGATCAAGCTCATCTTCGAGGAGTTGGCGCCAAAATCCGGGCGCGTGCAGCGCGTGCGACAGGCGAAATTGGCGCTGTTCAACCAGCACCATGCAGACGCCCTGGACCTCGACACGTGCGCACTGAAGCACATGCTGAAGCTGTTTGGGTCGACAAAGAAGGAGCAAGACCTTCGCAAGCACCTGGGGTCGTTCGGGCTCGGGCCGCTTGCCATGCAGCCGATGCGGCTGCTTTCTGGCGGGCAGAAGACGCGGGTCTCGCTTGCGGCGCTTGTGCTGGCGGAACCACACGCACTCATCCTTGACGAGCCGACAAACCACCTCGACTACGAGTCGATCCAGGCGCTGGCAGATGCGCTTGAGCAGTACCCCGGTGCTGTCCTGCTGGTGTCCCACGACCGCGACTTCATGTCCCGCATTGCAAACGAGTTCTGGGTCCTGAGAGACAAGCACCTCACGCGGTTTGACGGCACCCTGGACGACTACGTCGACTCGCTCGAGCACACCATGTGAGCATGCGCCCATGGTATCACGTCATCGCTGCTATAATCAACCCAAAATCACATAAGGAAGCACGCAAGCACAGGCAGGAGCAAGCAAGCACAGGCACAAGCAAGGGAGCACGCTCGCAAGCAAGCAAGGGAGCGAGCTTGCTTGTTGCTCACCTCACACCCACGAATACATTGTCGTTGTCTTGTTACGTTGCGCCCGCATGCATCTGATTTTGACTGCATTTAATGGATGATATGAGTTGCCGCCATGTATGTGGGCTGTGTGAGCTTGTTTGCTTTTGCTGCGCTGGTATTACATGTGCACATGTGTGTCAAGTGTTCCCCTTGCTTCTCTGCTGCGCCTTGTTTTGCTGGCCATCTGGTTGGTGTGCTGTTGACTCTAGGTTGGACATCACGTCGCGTCTTGCCTCCTTCTGTCTACCAATACACACGCGCCATCCCATGTACATGTGCCACAACACCACGAATATGATGGGCTGATCATGACTGACAGCAACAGCACATCATCAGCACACAGCATCACCACCACGCTTTGCCCTCCCACACCTCACTTGCTCTGCCCTGTCCGCACGCCCGGACATGTGCGTGTGTAATCCATTTGCGATGGGAGCACGTAACTCATGCGAAACACGACATCGCAGCAGAATGAAGCAGAAGAGAAAGCAACGCGAAGGCAAAGCGGCAGGTAAGAGCTGCCTTCCTTGTGCGAACAATCAAGACGTTCAAGTCGCATGTCGTTTAAAACACAGGATACAAACGCACAGCAATCGACACAGGAGCAGAGAACTGAGACACAGAGACAGATAGAGACGGAGGGAAAAGACAGTCTGAGGAAACTACACACATACACACACACACACACACACACATACACATACACACACACATATCACCAATCGCCATCGTCCTCACTATGGTCCTTATCATCATTGTGTGTACAATACAGCACCATCATGAAAACCGTTCTTGCGCCTCAGAACATGTGTGCATCGCGCAGCTGTGCTGGATCACTCAGGTCGACTGCAAATGCACTCATGCCATCATCATTTGCGGTGGCCGTGGGCTGCGGGGCGATGCCAAACTGCTGCTCAAGCGCTTGCGTGTGAGCAAGCAGGGCCTGCAATTGACTATCGCAAGTTTGCGCCGTTGTAGCCACAGCCTCCATGTCCTGCCAAGCGCACACACGCATCGTCGCATGCCCAGGCAGGTGAGCAACGGCCTTCGATCAGTTTGGGACCAACATGCAATCAAGCTCGCCCAGTGAAAGCATTCAGGAAGGCCAAAAGGAGAGACGCACGGCCAGCTACGAGCGAGCGATTTAGAGTACATACCGCGCAGGCTTTGGCTTGCGTTTCTTGCTGCCGCTGTGCCATGGCCTCTGCATTCGCCAGTGGCTGACCGGTCACTGTTGTGGACACACACACACACACACACATAAAAGCAAAGCGAGACTGTGAGTCATTGGCATTCCGTGTGTTGATCCATGATGGCAATGGAGAAATTACAACGCACGCAGTCTGCGGTGTGCAATGGCAACACACACATATGCATACACACACGCACGCACACGCACACGCGCGCGCACACACACACATGCATACGCGCATGCACGCACACGCACACACACGCACACTAGTACAAGCACCAACCGGAATTGATGTGCTGGGCCTCCACCAGTGCCTGCAGCGTTTGCAGTCGCCTCAAAATCTCCTCCTAACACCACAGACAAGCGCGCATATGTATGTGAGCGATAAACATGAGCAGAAATGCTTCCACCACAGTACCCTGTCGTATCGCGTGTTGTAGGCGGGTTGGTCGGTGGCAAAAGCCACGATACCTTCTCAGCGTGAAGCGAGGCGAGGGTGTCTTGGTGTTGTTGTTGCAGGACCTCTGCAGAGCACAAACGAACACACATACAGCCGTGAGCGAGACCTGCTTGCAGCGCCGTGCAGAATGCTCGATCCGAGTTTCTTCCATGTCGTCGCCAATTCACACACACACAGACACACAGACACGCACGCACGCACGCACACACACACACACACACAGACACACACAGACGCACACAGACACAGACACACAGACAGACAGACAGACAGACAGACACACAGACACACAGACACACACACACACACGTGGTTGTGTTGCTCTTGAAGGGTGCGGATGTTCTCGGCGTTGATGTGCTCCAGCTCCTCTCGCTGTGAGACCACTTGCTCTGTTGCCTCCTGAATGATGATACCATCAAATCGAAGGCATTGCGCTGCGCGCACATATGTCCATGCGCGTATGTGTGCGTGCGTGTGGGGTGAGAGAGAGAGAGAGAGAGAGAGAGAGAGAGGGAAACAGGAAACGGGTCTTTGGAGGTCTTTCAGACACACGCCCACACAAGCTCGGCTCAGCTGCTTTGTTCCCCCTTCACCTCTGTCCACTTCCCGTTCACAACCACATGTCCCTCTTCCCAAGCTCTTGACCTGTGCAGTTTGTGTCGCCTTTGCCAGCTGTTGCTGAAGATCGGAGATGGATTTGCCTTGGGCGGCCGTCTTCTCAAGCAGTTCGTCTCGTTCAACGCGCAATGCAGCTTCTGATTTCCGAATGGCAGTCACACTGTCGCCACGCCATGAAGGAATAGCGGTGTTGTGTTGTGTTGTTGTGTTGTGTGTGCATGTGCATGTGTGCGTGTTTGTGTTAGTGAGGCTGGATGTGAGGGATCCCATCAGGGGGAGGCAGATCCAATCATCAAAGCGACACTCACAACACAGAAGAGCACACAGCACACTCATGTGCCTACAGACACATACACACATAACTGTCATCTCAAGCCCTCGACTGGTATGGTCTCTCTTTTGCTGTCCCGCTCTCATCTTCAATCACCGCCTCCACACACACACACACACACACACACACACACACACACACACACACACACACACACACACACACACACACACACAGTATGTTCTGTCACCCCCGCCATCACTCCTCTTTGCCACCACTTCACCCACAAGCACACCACTGCGCAGACATACCCGCGCATGTCCTTGTGGGGCTTTGGCACTCTTGAGGTCGTCGGGAAATTGCTCTGCTTGGCTCCATCAGGCCGATGAATTCTTGTGGCCATGGCTGGTTGGTTGGTTGGTTCGTTCGTTTGGTTTGGTTTGGTGGTTGTTGTGCCTGTCGGTGATGCGGCTGTGTGGCGGTGGGTTCACGAGCACGAGACAAAATACGCACACAGAGAAATCACACGCAAACCACGGCAAAGTGCACGTTCCGGCTTCTTGTTACTTGCTGACCCTGCGAAATACAACACCGAACAAGCAGTGCAGCAACCACGAACACAATCATGACGAACGGAACGGTAAGCAATGTGATGTGTGAACCAAAAAACAAACATTGCTCGTGTGTGTGTATTTGTACGTGTATGAGACACACATTGTGCGGGTTGATGTGGTTGAGGTGGTTGAGGTTGGCCAACACACATCCAACACATGAACACGCACACACACACACACACACACACACACACACACACACACACACAACACACACCAACAACGTTCCTGACCTCAAGCCACGACTCAAGCGACAGCAGCCCACGATCAATCCATGCATGAAATGATCAATCACACAACTCCCACCACATACAAACACACCAACAACCACAGCGACCAACACTACCTGGCTCGCTGGCTGGTGTTCAAATTTTGCCGGCAAATTCACGGAACTGAATTCAGTTGATACGATTTATGCTGTCGCAACACAAATGAGCGCCAGATTATTTTTTTTGGTCAACCACCAAACAGCACCAAACAGCCAAACAGCACCAAACCCTGCCACAACCACAATACAGGCAACCTTCTCTGTCTTCCATCTCCTGCTTGTGTGTTTGTGTCCTCGCCGATCGCGGTTGTACCGATTCCTCGTTGTGTGCGGAGCGTGTGCGTGTGTGTGCGCGTGTGCACGCCTGGCAGTTTCATATTCCTCCACAAGAAAGACAGTGGTTGTTGGCATTCGTTTTGCCGCAGCCAAGAAGTTGCGGGTGTTGATTGTTTGGTTTGTTGTTACAATCGTGTTTGTGTTCTCGCTGTCGTCTGAAACTGCATTCGCCATGGATGTGCAACCGGTTAGCTTGCTGTGACCTGCGTTGGCTTGCTGTGGCTTGTGGTGTCTCGTTGCTTGCGAGTGTGCACACAACACACAACACACAACCGCACACACGCACACACACACACACACACCATGGCAAGCACACACAAATGCAGGCACACACACAGACCACATCGCACAAACTCACGCACACTCATTTGATCATCTCTCACGTGACCACCAATGTCACACACAGGGCATCCGCTTCAAGTGCTGTCTCGGCCAAGAGAACAGGTACACAGGACTGTGTGCGCTTGCCGCATCAAGTTTGGGTCTCATGTAGAGAACGGTGTGAGATGATGTAGTTAGTGGTGGTGGTGGTATGCGTTGTGGTGTGTGCGATCTTGTCTGCCGTGCGCCTTGCCGTTAACAGCATGCAGCCGCGCTTACAATCAAATCCACTGCTCCCGTGTGCGCAGGAACATATTCCTGGATAGCCCCGTCTCCTTGGATCAACTGAAACAGAAGATTGTGGCCTACTTCAGAAAACCAAATCTCAACATCCTTGTCGTTGACACAGAGGTAGTGGATGGGAAGGAAAGGGAGGGGTGTGTGAGAGATAACGAGTGCGTGTTTGTTTGCGTGTTTGCGTGTGTGTTTGTGTGTGTGTGTGTGTGTGTGTGTGTTTGTGTGTTTGTGTGTGTGTTTGTGTGTTTGCGTTGAATGCTGAGGACGAGTGAATGTGGAGACTGACAACTCCGCACCGATTGCGCTCCATCGCCACACTCGCTTGCGTGTATTTTCAGGGGAAGCGGAAGCGATTACGAACACAGGATGACCTTGATCAGTGCCTCAAGTCCGTGGATGCACAGTCGTCGTCCACCGCCGTGCGTCTCGTGCTCACCTCCTCCACAGATACAACATCACCGCCGCCACCTTCCCCCTTTGACGAGCTTGACAGCGCCGGCCTTCGCGACCACCCGCCCTTTGACCGCCCATACCGCCAACACATGGGGTGGGTTCGTGCGTACGAGTGTGCGCGTGTGTGTGTGCGTATATGTGTTTGTGTGTACGTGTGTGCGTGTGTGTGTGTGTGCATAAATGTACGTACGTGTGCTTACCTGTGCGCGCGCGTGTGGAAATGCATGTGCTCTTGAGATGACGAGCCACGATTGAGAAAGGGTTTGAGTAATCGCGCGCTCACCCTTCCTCTTCCCAACCGTCTTCTCCTCGTCTCCACGCGTGTCGTGGTTGCAGGACATTTCAGCGTGCCGAATTGCGTAAGGAGCCGTCAGCTCGCCGCGGCGCCGCCCACAGACGCATGCCCTCAGACCACAACCCGCACACCCTCGACCTCCCTTTCGCACAGCTCACGGTCAGGCTACTCTTCACTGTGTGTGTGTGTGTGTGTGTGTGTGTGTGTGTGTGTGTGTGTGTGTGTGTGTGTCGTGTCGTGTGTGTCGTGTGTGTGTGTGTGTCGTGTGTGAGTGTGTGTGTGTGCGTGAGAGAGAGAGTGTGTGTGTCGTGTGTGTGAGAGTGAGTGAGTGTGTGTGTCTGTGTGTATGTAAGCCCATGTGTCCGTGTGTACGCGTGCGCATGTCGATCTCTCCAGCGCCTTCCCGCTTTTGACTTCAAACACCATCACTACCCTCACGCTCTCCATGTGCGTCTGTTGTCATGATTCCAATGCGCAGGTGAACGACGTTGATCCACCACTGCCACCTCCCCATCACCACCAGCACCACCACCACCCTCACCGCGCCGATGCCCACCGGCCCAGCAGCCCGCCCCCGGGCTTTCTCGACCTGCCGCAGCACAGCGTCCACGACAGACGTGAGTTGTGCGAGCGTGCGTGTGTATGTGTGTGCGTGTATGTGTGTGCGTGTATGTGTGTGTGTGTGAGCGGACTCATGGAGGCGTGATTGTTTAGCGTTCCTCACCATGTTTACGTGTGTGTGTGTGTGTGCGCGCGCTCGTGCAGGCTGGTCCTCGGACGTAAACGGCGGCGGAGAATTCATCCCAGAAACAGACGATCAGCCAGATCACAGATATGAGGTGCGCACACCACACCTTGGCACATTGTGTGTGTGTGTTGTTTTTAAATTGTGATTGTGCAACGAGCGCGACGTGCCCTCCCTCCCGCCATGTGTCCATTGCCCAGCTCATCCACCCTCTCCCCTGTGTGTGTGTGTGTGTGCGTGTGTGTGTGTGTGTGTGTGTGTGTGCGTGTGTGCGTGTGTGTGCACCGCCATCTGCAGCAGCCGTCCCGCACAGTCCGCTCGACTGGGAGCGCCCATAGTTTCCACAGCTTCCGCAGCACACACAGCGCGTCCAGCACACAGAGCGTGTACAGCGGCGGCGGCTCCCAGCGCAGTCAGGGCAGCCACCACGCCGTTGCGCGCGTGTCTGTCAAGGACGTCTTCACCCGCGACGACACGGAATCGGGCGTGTTTGACCACGAGTCACAGGTGCGCAGCGCGCTTGATGTTCCGGACAGGCTTCGCTCGGGGACATACCCGCGGTCGAGTGCACCGCCGGGCCACGTGGCCGTAACCCGGATTGGCGGCCCGTACACCCTCCCGCGCGAACGGACGTCGTCGTCAACAATGGCCGGCGAGGGCATGCACCGCGTGCCGCACACCGCCGTGCCCACGCAGTCCCACTTTAGCGCTGGTGCGTCAAACTCGTTGTGCATGTGTGTTTGTGTGTGTTTGTGTGTGCTTCTGTGTTTGTGTGTTTGTGTGTTTGTGAGAGTGTGTGCGAATGTGCGTGTGAGTGTGTGTATGTTTGTGTACGTGCGTACGTGCGTACGTGCGTGCGCATAACGTCACTCACGCCCACACCCTCCCCCCTCCCCAATTCAACAGCAGTCCGTGGGCCAACGATGCCGGTGCGGTGGAGGAAAGGAAAGCTGCTCGGTTCGGGCGCGTTCGGCAAGGTGTGCGATGTGGCGTTGCTGTTTGTTGCGTTGGTGTGAGTATGTATTGTTGTTGCTTGACTGACTCACTGGGTCCGCGAACCGTGTGTCAACGCATGCAGCCACGCACAATACCTCTCCCACACCCTCACCACCACCACCACCACGGCGCTGCGTGCTGCAGGTGTATCTTGCGCTGGACGACGGGACCGGTGCAGAGGTTGCGGTGAAGGAGGTTGAGCTCGATGCGGGCGAGCAGCCGTCTGGCGGCGCCGTTGAGGCACTGGAGGGCGAAATTCGCGTCCTCAGCGGTCTGAGGCACCCGCGCATTGTGACGTACCTCGGCACCAAGCGCACCCCAGAGACCCTCTCCATCTTCATGGAATACGTGCCGGGGGTGAGTTGCTCTTTCATTGTGGTTGTTCGTCATTGTTGCATAGTAGTACTTGTGTATGGTTGATAAAGGTGTGTGCTTTGCTGCTTTGCCGTCGTGAGGTGTGCGCACAGATACACACACACACACACACACACACACACACGTACACACGCGACTGCAGTCCGCACGCGTTCCTCACCCCCACCCCAATCACCACCGACACGACCGCCACCTCCAGCGCTCAATTGCACGGCGACTGCGAGACTACGGTGCATTCTACATCG